AAAGGTCCACAGTTCTCCCCAAGGATGCTCACACTGACACAGACATGGAGAGTTTAAACACATCTGTTTCCAAACACCTGCACAGAGGCAGCTCTGAGGAGTCTGTATTTTGTATTTTCACTTGCACTGTATTTCTATATATTGATTTTGTTGCCTGACTGGTTCTATTCATTTAGTTTTACTTTATCTCAATCTGTCTGACCAAAAAACAAATGTTCATGTAAGGAATAGTTATCTAATGTTCTATTAATCCCCACTGTGCTGGATTGGCTGTGCTAGTCTGGGTCCATTCCATGCAGCAGGTAGTCATCACCATATTTGTCTGCAAATGTTCATTTTCTTTTTTTTTGGATCAGCACTGCATGAAAACGAGTCAAAAGTGAATCAATTTGAAGAAATGAAATTCTATTAGTGCACATACTGTGTGCAATCAATAGAGCAGATCCACAGAGTTAGATTGCTGCGGTGTCTGGCTACTGCAGAGGTTTTGATGGTTTTAGCATACTAATTGGACATGCATATCATAGTGAGCTATGTAGTACAATATTTATCTTTGAGCTATTATTTACTCTAAAGTTGTATTGAAGGAATAATCCAACAATTATTATCTGTAAATGGATATTGTAAAATCAAAAATACATGGAGAGATAACATCCTGATTTTGGATCCTGGATATAGCCTATTGCATCTAGACCTTTGTAAAGCAAGAGGGTGAATTAGACACCTACAAGTAGAAACGTTAGAGTTCTTTGTTTTAAATACACTAAGTAAATTTGCTATCAACACAAAGAGGCTCGATATGAATAATTATTTTGATAAAAACAGTTCCACATTAACTGAGAGCACTGAATAATTGATTTAAAGTTGACTGTACATCATGTATTTGCAGAGCATCAAATCAGCGAACATCACACCCACTATAATACGAGCACATTGCCATCTAGTGGACTATGGCTCATAATACAGTACCACCAACAAGTACAGGTTGTGCCTTCAGCAATTTCTGACTTTTTCTGACAGGCCTGTGATTCTGTGTGGTTCTCGGATCAGTTATCAAAGGCGCTCAGCTGGTTCCTAAATTGAATGTTAAGTGTAGATTGTGGGGTTTTTTTCATATAAGAGTGAAGGGAATTCTAAGCTTCACTCTCTCAGTTCATATGATCTAACTTGAAATACATCAGTCTGTTCCAAAGAAATATGAAGAGCCTTAATTCCACTGATTTCACAGAATAATGAATTGCAGTTTGATCTATATAAAACAAAGCCCACCTTCTATTTAACTTATGTATATCTAGCACTCCCACTTTTGTGTTCTGCACAGGGCTCTGCTTTTAGGAAACGAATCATTGTTCATTATTATTCATTAATAAATATTTGACACACCCTGTTTTTGACTAAGTTATGTGAGAGAGCAACATAAGAAAATGTCTTGATTGAATATGTACTAAAATATTTTCACCATGTCAACACATACCCATACATCATAAATCTAATAGAGAAATCCAGGGGCTCTTTGAAAACCACTGCTCTCTGCCACATAGACAAGAACTGAGGAGACTGTTGTTGCATTCAAACTGTTTTCAACCAAGTGTCAGGATAATACCAAGTATAATAATAATAATAATAATATTCTCTACACCAAACTGTGGGATAGTCTGCGTGTGTGTAGAAAAGTAAAAATAGTGGATCACATGCTTGTTGGCCTAAAACCTAAGCTCTCAGTCACATGGTCAGAAACTGAGGATATAGACACTACATTCAAACAAGTATCAGGTGATCATGGTTATGATCGTGCTTATCGTTAGCGGTGAGGATTGTTTGGGATTCAAACCTGCATCTCACTGAGTGACTCCACTTGGACAGGAGGCTGGGTGGGTCTGATCCTGTAGCTGACTTTACCGAGTCGAGAGCTAAAGGACATAGCTCCAACATTCCTCCACTGAAAAAACCCTCCGCGATAACTTGGCTGTAATTTCCCGTCGTCGTAGAAATGTATTTTGTTTTCTCAGCCTGCGGGTTCGTGTAGGTGGGTTGAGTTTCCTGCTGAAATAACACGTTGTCAGCGGCCAGCTTGACTCAGCGCTGATGTTGTTAGTGGTCTCCAAGGTAACGAGGCACCGTGTGCTGAGGGGCCGTAACGGGACAGTGAAATGGAGCCAGTCACTGTTCAAGTGGGACTAGTGAAGGTTGAACTGATAATAAAACCACATGACAATATTACATATTAGATACCAAGCAAAAACCGCAGGGAGAGCTAATGATTCATTAGCTAATTTCTGTTCTAAAACCTCAAATCTGGCTAAATGCCTCACTCTCACTACTTTCCATGGTAACCAGGCACACCCAGGTCTTGTTTATGCTCTTTGAATGAGGCCATTGGTTTATTTATTGACTTTATTTGTTTTGCTGTCGCTCTATCTTGTTCTTTTCTTGGTCTTAATATTGTGTCAACATCAGCATACGCTTTGAAATGATGCTAAATGCTTTAAAGGCTTGTACTTGTTGACACTGTTTAGAATAAAGTTTTAAATACTGGGTTAGGGTTAGATTGGGATTGACTGGGATTAATCGAGGACCCTTCCTGAAGGATCTCCAGCTGCAGCACATGAAAAGAAAACTTTTGTGACCTTAGGTCAAACTGCCAATCAGGTTGATTTACTTTTTTAAAGCAATATAAATCAACATGCTTTACATTATATATCATAAAAAGCAATTTGCAAAAAGAAACACAAGGGTAAAGGTAACAGTGCAGTGTAAGAAATTGGAGACGTGTGGAGCAAAAAAACTTTATGCTGATTCTCCATGTTTAGTTTGACTCTGGGGACAGAAGACAGACTCATCACAGATGACACAAGGGATCTGTATGGTTCATAGGTAACAGTAGATCAGTAATAAACAGTTCAGTGCTTTATAAACCAATAGCAGTAGCTTTTAGTCAGTTTTTTTGCCAGACTTTAAACATATGAGAACTGGAGTGATTTCATCCATTTTCTTGGTTTCAGTACAGACTCGAGCTGCAGCTTCCTGAATCACCTGCAGCCGTCTGATAGTATGGACAAGGTTTTACAAATTCTGCTGAGACATGAGCACTTAAATCCTGGATATCTTCTCAAGGTGAGGGTAGGCAGATTTCATAATCGTCTTATTGTGGCTGTTAAAATTCTGTTATAGAATCCAGGCAGCTCCAAAACTTCTGGATTGGAGAAAATAGAAAGTCAGAGGAAGATCATGAAAACAGCTCCAGTCGTGTCACATCAAGCTGGGGAAAGAAATTTCCAGTCACATGACCATTAAAGTTCATTCTGTCACAATGGTAAAAAAAAATAATTGGGTTAGTTATTATATTATATTATATATATTAGTTATTATGTGATTGAAACCTGTTTAGCTCTGATTTACTTTTTGGTCACTTGAGGAAACCATGTTTTAAAAAGTATTAAACACAACACTTATGTATAGTTTATACTTTAGAAGTTTATTTACAGAATGTGGCTCACACACATCTATTGCAGATTATGAGCATATCCACTTGAAGTCATGTTTGTAGCCACCTTAAAAAATGTAAATCTCCTTTTTGATCCATTTTAACTGCTAAGTTAAATATGTGACTCCTCACCTGCTGAATGCTTATGTTCATCAACTGGTTGCTTATATTGCATCTCTTTTATTTTGTTCTGCGGCTGAAACTTGAAGACTGAAACAAAAATAAAGCTCCTCGCTGCAAAACCAAACAAGTAAAAAACAAAGGAGAGGAGCTGCCGAGTTGAGGGATACTGCATACATGTAGTAATTGGATCACCATATTACCATCACTGTTGATTACTATGATAAAAGCAACTTTCATAGCAACAGTATACAAATTATATATATATATATATATATATATATATATATATAAAGGTATGATCTTTATGTTGCCAACAAATAACTTCCATTACCTTCCAATCTTCTATTTATTTAATCTAAATTCCACTGACTTTCAGCTTTAATGTCCAGAAATATCTTTAGACTCTCAATTATGACAATGAAGAGTCTCAATGAAAATGTGTTCTATATGACCAGCAGTCTATTTATGAACAAACCGTTGACTATATCAGGGTCTCCTCTGCATTTTCTATATAAGTTATTGAACTTGTTGCAAATTAATATTCTGATTGTAAATAATTGCTTAATCAACCAATAAGAAACAAAAGCTATTATTATTTTTTACCCCAGGGCCCCCTAGATCCGGCCATGCTTAGAGACTATTGATTCAGGCCTGTGTCATCGGAATAAACACAGCAACTGACAGTGGAGCCTGACATTCTACAACGGACGAGTTGCACAGCCCTCCCAGAGCAATTCGCACAGACAACCTGTAGATGGCAGCAGTTTACCGTCCCGGGTTAAAAACCACTGAACTGCGGCTGTCGAGGGATAAGTGGGTTAGATTTGTGGGGCAAATGACCTCATGGTGGAGCATCATCTTCATCACTGGGAGATGAAGAGAGACGGAAACAGTCCCTCTCCATCAGTGTCATTTTCTCCAGATATTAAAACTTGATCTATCATCACTGGAGAAGCGATGGGCTGCATCACCCTCATTCAACCCGGTGACCCCAGGCTCGTGTTCAAAATGCGTGTGGAGGAAATCAGCCTTGGTGATAAGGTTAAACACGAGCAGGGCTGTGGTGCACACAGGGTGTAAGGATATCCCAGATGTTGTGTGACGTTATGGCATCTCCCAAAACATCTGGAGCCATTAATCCAGAGGAGCGTCTCCCACGCAGCCCTCATCAGCACCGCAGTGAGGGACTCTGACGGTGCGTGTGTTTGGGGGGGGGTCGCTGCAGCTGTGCCGTGGCGCACATTTAAAAATTGGGTGGCGCACAATGCACCAAAAGCCCCTCGTAACGGAATCCCAGGATATCCCACCCCCATCCACCTCCTGTAGACGGAATAGCCCTCCCTCCCCTCCTCTTTTTTTTTTTTTTTTTTTACCTCCGCCTTCTCTCACTATCCCCCTCTTCTATCTCCTCCTCCTCCCTCACGTCCCAACTCGGGAGCGCCGCCGATCGGTCGCCAGGATTTTACCCCCTCGTCTCGGCCAAAATGGAGGAGGAGGTCTCTCGCTGCTTAATGAAGGGAGCCCAGATTGCCTGACCGGATCTGGTTCAATGAAAGGCGTCGGGATCCGCATTCACAGCGATCGCCACGAGCAGGGAGCCCATTGAGGATTTCTATCAAGCTATCTTTCTTTCTTTTTTTTTCTTCCGCGCACGCAACCCGCAGCCATGAGCGCAGGAGAGGGGCTGGATGAGGCTGCGAAGGACGCGGCAGACATAGCGGCGTTTTTCAAATCCGGTAAGTCGGGAAGGGGCGAGTCTGGCTCGGGGAGAGCTAAGGCAGAGGTGTCGCTGTGATCACGGGTGGTGGTGGTGGTCTGTCACATTGTGGACAAAAGCCCCACAGACGGGTGTCACTGGGGGGGAGATGTGTAGCCCACTGCGCTGCTGGACGTGCCCGGGACAGACGCGCACACCTTGTATTTATTTACCACATTTCAGTCCACTGACCCTGACACCCCGCAGCCTTTGATGACAGCACCTCCGGAAATAATGCGCCTTTGATTAGTAAAGGCACTGACCCCATTTTGGGTTGGACCACGCTGGCTACAAGGTGTGCATGGTTTCAGCTCCACCGTGGTCTCTTTGGGGCTGTACGTAACAGCACAGCCCGTCACGAACCTCTTGGATCATGTGGATCGTACAATTTGATCGATGTTTGCCTGCAGACACTGATCGAACACGAACCTGGGATCACTCTGAACACAGGTCTCCCAGATCTCATGCACGAACGGAGCCTATAGGCCACTGACGCACATATGGCCATTAGGTTGCAGTTAATATGCACTGGGCCTGTCTAATAATATGATGTCATCACAACAATAAGGATGGGCCTGCATCCAAAACGTAAACACCACCTATATGTCCCAGGGGGCTTCAGTGCAGGGTGCCTGATATCAGCCCGTATAATAATAACACTTAAATCCTGCACCTTGTGAGATTACCTGTAGTTGTAGATTTGAGGTAGGAGTGATTTTAGATTATTGTCACAATGCCTGTAAGTCTTTCCAAGATACAGTCACACACTAAGTTGTAATATTAAGATGTCTATTCCATTCCAACAGGATTATAAGTTTCACCTGAGGCAATTGTATCATAAGATGTTTCAAGATGTGCTTTATTTTTATTTTTAAAAACCTTTAGCGTATTACAGGAATCTAACTGTAAAAACCCTCCATAACAAGTTCTTGAGCTGTATGAGTTTGAAAATGATGATTGAGGTTAGTTATTGTTTTCATTTTCAAGCCCAAACCCTCCTGGATACCAATAAACAACCAATCCACCGATTTTGTAAAATACAGCTTCAACTCAATCTGACACAGGCATTAGGAGAGCAGGGTTTTAAATTTTAAAAGGAATATCGGTCCAGCGTCGGCGAAAGATGTCGCCACCATTAGAGAGGACCACCTCTGACACACAGCAGAAGAAGCAGCAGCTGTCTTTCTCTCTCAGCTGTTTCTCCCTGTGACACCTGGTGCCAGGGGGTCTGCTGGTCACCATATGAGCAGGAACACACATACACACTCGGCGTCATGCACAAATCCAGGCACTAGTGCATGTTAATCAATAAATGCAGCAGACATGCACAAACACACACAATTTATAGATTCTATAAACAACATTTTTTTGTCTAAGAATTGCATCTACCAGTCAGACGGTTAGGAATGTTGTCAGAAAGAATTGTATTTAAATGCTACAGTCTCTCCTATGGTTGCTTGGATGCCTGCCAGTGTATTTTCCTATAGCCCTGTTGTATCAGGCTGGAAAGTTGGCTCACCAGGGAAGTTGGACTGCTTGGATGTTTATGTAGTGGCAAACACAGTTCATACAGTATTCATGATGGAGACAGAAATAGGTTAAGGCCTCAGGAAACTTTTATAAGACATAATAATGGAGAGAAAAAAAAGATTTTGTGGAAGAAAAGTGCTAAATGCTGCGTGAATGGTGTCAAATAGGTGCACGTATCCAGCTGAGATAAGAGCTGCTGGTTTAAAACATTGTTAGTCATCTTGTTTAATTAAAGTTTTGTCTTTGTGCTGCTGCAGTGGGTTCACAAAAACTGATGTATTGGAAAGATGAACAGAATACAAGATACTTTCTCTATGTTAATGGGTTCATTCATTCTTTGCACTTGCTGTGCTTGTAATTGGATTTCATACTTGGATATTGTTTCCTCTTGTCTTAATCATTCAGTTCATTTGGATATTGTTGATCTCATTCAGTTGATCAATCATACTTCTCACCATCAGGTTTTCCTTATTTCTATTAATCTCTCCTTTCTCTGCAGTTCATTAATTTTATCCACCGTTAATCAGCTGTTTTCCTTTGTTTTAAGAACCAGTCACATGTATACACTTATGCAATGTGTCTGAATAGAAGATATGTCAATGATTCATTCGTCTGTACTTCTCACAGACTCATATTCATGTATCCCAATGTATCTTATAGTTTTTACAGTGCAGCACCAGTAGTAATGACCATCCTGCTCCCCGTAGCCTCTCCAGCAGGCTCCTTAATTGCAGCCAGCTTGTTGCATGTTGAAATCTTGGCACACAGCTGCTCATCCTCGTTGATCCAGAGCACTTTATTTCTGGAGCCCTGTGTATGTGTGTGAGTGTGTTTTGTTTTGCTGGGACTCTACTTACACTTCGGTGCCCTAGTTAGCCGGTGAAGGCTAGAACGTGGCAGAATGTTCCACTAAAGAAGACAGATCCGTGACAGGCTCAGAGGGCGACTTAGTGGGAGACAAGCTTGCTGACTGGTTTGAAGCAGCAGAGATGGCAGCCTGTTTGGGTGATTTCACTGAAATTTCCACCAAAACATCTACTGTAAGTCTTGTTTTTTCTTTAAAGCTAGGGTTGGCGATCCTGAAAAAGCTAGCAAGAGCATCCCCTCCCATCAGCCCTCTCATCGAAGCTACGCCCTCCAATACACTTGACCGTGCACTGAATGACAACTGCTTGGAGCCAACTTTTCTGTGACTCCTGCGTGACACCTGCGTGTCGCCTGCTGCCTTCTGATTATCGTCATTTGAGCATTTCAGCTGGGTGTGCGCAGCAGGCGGGTCGGTTAGTGACAGACAGGTACACCAGCCAATCGTTTAATTTGATCTGAATTAAATGATAGGTCATGTTCATGCAAGTCAGGACCATTTTCATCAAATATGTAAAAAGGTGTTTCAGAAACACCTTACCAAACCTGGCTTTAATTCTGCACCAGTTTTGAATTTCTTCACCTGAATGGATAATATCATCATTGGCCTTTAAAAGTACTTGATGTTCCTCTCGGCCTGATTTGATTTTCTCAGTGAGCAGATGGAGCTCCATCTTTGAGTCCCACACTGTTGATGTAGATCACAGCTCAGCGGCTGACTCACCCTCCCAGGTTGCTCATGCCTTGATTCAAAATCCAATCTTCAATGTTTTAGTTTTTTTTGCAACAGGTCAAAGCTGAGAAATATTCAGCTGCTTTCTTGAACACTTAAAAAACTTCTCTCACTTTTCTCATGCTCAGCTATCCAGTCATATATATCACCCCAGCTTTGCAAGTGTTTGCAATAAAAACCTTTTGAAAGCATGGGAATACAATAGCACTCTTCATAACTAGGCTATATTTAGTTGTTTACAACCCGTAGATAAATAGCATAATCAGTTGACTATTAGACCAGAAAACATGTCTCCGGTTCTGTTTTGAATACAGCCGATCATAGTAGCCCTTTGTTCCCCAATTTGATTTTCACTTTGATTAAGCATTCTTCAAAGTGAGGCATCACAGCGCAATAAAATATTGCTAATTGCAGACAGCCCACGCAAAGCTTAGCGGCATATCCCCTGTGAACTCCAAATATTGGGTACTTTATAATCACAGCAAGCTGCTCATATCTAGAGGGTTGCCTGGTTGTTGAACGGTCAGGAGTTATATTAGGATGAGTCTGGAGGTTGTGGTGTATATTGTAGTCAAATATCTTCCAGCTGTTGGTGCAGCAGCGAACATTAACAGAGTAAATTCAATTCAATCTGGAATTCTGATGCAAAAGTTATGATGAATTTTTCATTCTTTTTAAATGAGTAGAACAAAATACACCCCCTTTGCTGCAAACTGACAGTAAGAATGAGCCTTTTTTATTTCATACACTAAAAAATGTGTGTACATGTGAATTAGGTTAGTGTACTGTTCAGTGACCCCTCAGGCCTCAGTTTACTCATCAGCACTCATTAGGTAACAAAATGTCAGTTGGAATCATCAGCAGTTGATTTCAATAAACCTTTTGCTAAGACTCGACAAACAGAGGCTTCTCTAAGCAACTGTGTGAGGATCTGAAAGTGAAGCTAGTTGATGTCTTCAAAGCACTGAAGGGTATAAAAACATCAAAGCGCCTCCAACTTGAAATTTCCACTGTACGAAATGTCATTAGTCAAGACAAGGTCTGGAAGACCAAGAACATTTTCAGATTGAACTTCCCATCTACTGAAAGGCAAAGCAAAATGCCCATATGACTGCACAGGAGGTGTAGGGAGGCTGACATGAATGGTGGTGTATCATTTCACAGTGGAGCATTTCTTGCACAAATAGGGAATATCCTACATCAGTAGGTTGTTCGCCTTAGAGAGGATAGCACCATCCTTGTATAACCTGCATGCATTCCCCCTCTAAATTGCTTTTCAATAGATTTTTGTGTAATATTTAAAAAAATATTTCTTATATTACTCTACCATATGCATAGGGTTAAACAATGATGTACAGCAAATATGTTTAGTATTGTCTGCAATAATTTGGAGCTTGGCTAGACTTGTTCACAGAAGAAAACAGAAAGAAAAGTGACAGACAAGGCAGGAAGCTGTGTTAATGCCAAAGCTACTGCTGCTCTCAGAGATTCCCTTTCAAGTATTTTCCCTGCCAACTAACTGGACGAAATCTTGAAGTGGTGGTTTATTATCTGCCACAGTGGCTGGTAGTGTGGACAAACTGACCTGGCGCAACACAAATATTAACCAGCATCTGGTTGGTAGCTGGTGTTTATTCCTAGCCCAGTAAGCCACGGCACAGGTTCAAACTTAGGATAGTGTTGTTAGAGATGTTCTGATACTGATACCAGAAGTAGAAATGTTTCCCATATGGTGGATATATGGACTGCCACTGAAAAATACTGTGTTTTAGGCGGCGAAGAAGAAGAAGTTATTTCCAGTAGTGTAACTTTGGCCAAAGCTCGCTAGTCACGCCAGTCCCACAAATAAAAAA